TTTTTACTCACTTTTTTTTAAATATAATTAGTAATTTTAAAAATAATAGAACGTATAAATTTTTAATTCAAATTTATTTTTATAAAAATAAAATATGAATTGGAATATAGTTTTAATATTATTAAAAATAATATATATATATATATATATATAAAATAATTATATATTCTGACACAGAGAATTGAACGGAAACGGTTTTAATTTGAAACTTTATAAAATTTAATAAAATTGTACGCAAACATTTAATTATTTTCATAAATAGTAAAAATTTCACAAGAATTCAATTATTTACAAATTTTTTATAAGTTTATTCTAAATAATCCAATTATTTTCTATAAATAATAAAACTCATCACACAATTTAAATCATTTTGAATACAATTTTAATCGAATAATAATTAAATATTTATTTAAAAAAAGTTATTGATGTTTTTGAATAATTTTACAATTCAAGAAATTCTTAAAAAAATGTAACAAAACATTTTTTTGAGTAAAATTCTTTCAATGATTTTCAAATATCTAGTACTATTTTAATAAAATTTTTCAAAAAAATTCAATTATTTGAAAAAAATTTGGATAAAATTCGACTCAAACATTTAATTATTTTTAAAAATAATAAACATTTCACAGGAAATAATACAATTTTTTTTAACAATTTAATTATTTTCATAAATAATATAAAACTCATCGTAGAATTTAAATTATTTTTAATACAATTTTTTTCAAATTCCTGGAAAAATGTAATTATTCTTAAAAATTTTATTAAAATTCGCCAAAAGAATTCAATTATTTAAAAATTTGTTGATAAGATTCTTTATGAGAATTCAATTTTAAAAAACATTCAATTATTCAATAAATTATTTATTTTTACAATTAAATAATTGAATTCTTGTAGAATTTTCTAATAATAATTGATTTAAAATTACATTTCAGTTAAAAGTTTAGATTATAATTTAATATTAAAAGCATTATAGCGTGAATTTTTAGAAATAATTGAATTTTAAAAAGGTTTCAAATTGAAATCTTTGAAAATCTGAAATTTTCCTACTTTTCACTAACAATTCTGTGTATAGAATTAGTTTTTTTAAAAAAGTTTAATTGAATTTTTTTTGAAATTATTTAAAGTAATTTGTAATTGCCAAATAGAATTTATAAACACTTTTTCCTTTATTTCAAAAACTTTTAATTTTATTACAACAATTGTCTAATTAGGAAATAGAAATTATGTAAATTATTTCCTTATAAAAATTGAAAATTTTCTACCAAAATATTAAGAGTTTGTGAATAATATTGTTGTTGAGAAATAAAAATTATGCATAAAATATTTCTTAATCACTGTTTTTTAACAATTAACAATTTTCTAATATTTTTTATAAATAAAAAGGAGAATAATTTGCACATTAATTTAGATCATAATTTCTTTTTTAAATTCTAATATTATTTTATTATAAATTATGAAAAAATACCTGCATATTTTTGATTTGTCAAACAATCATTTTTAAAGAACAAAAAAACAAAAGCGTACACAAAAACCAACTTCAAACTACGGACAGAATGAATGAAAGAATACAAAGATTAATATAGTTAATTAAAATTTATTAGATTATAGAAATGCTGAAAATATTTATAATTATAGTTAATATAACCAGATGGCTTTAATCTGATCTCAAGATTCAAACATTCCTTTTTCAATCGGATTTATCATGGTCTCTAAATTTGAATTAGTAAAAATGTTTACTAATTATAATTAGTGACTGACTTTTCGTTTTTGAATGAGTCAATTTTAATATAAAATTAGTAGAAATAACTATTTAGCAAAATTTACTAACTCAAAAGCAAAAAGTCAGTCACTAATTCAAATTAGTAAAGATTTTTACGAATTGAAATTTAGAGAGTGACCGAATTTTCTCACACTAAGTTGTAATAAAATTGAAAACAAAATTCAAGACTGAGACTTATATGAAAAAAAGAAGAATGCAATTTCAAATAGAAGACTCGTTTCTCTCATGTATATATCTATAAAAGAAAAGTGTTTTCCTTAAAGTGGAAGAAATATTTTTCCAAGTGAAGGTGTAGTTGAAGGTCTTGCAGCAAAAAAAGGAAGAAAAAAATCTCTATAGCAGATCGTTTTCTGTCCTTGGTTTACTTTCCTTATAATTAGAAGTGGGATTCATGTACAACAAACAAGGAAATACAAACAACATCTCGGCAAGTTCTTATATGTGCTTTCACGATTTCTCGATTTCAAACTACTCTCAAAAGCGGTTTCAGTTTGAATTGAGAGTTGCGGGTTTGAATTAGTTGAAGTAGAGGACTCGATAGCATCGAATCTCATCGTTGATCGTTTTCAAGTACACACATACATATATATATAATAGGATCTTTTATATGTTCGATAGTAAGTTGAGACTATTAAAGGCATATAAAACGTGATCGCGTAAGTTATGCGCCTTTTTCCCTATTTTGCTCTCCCTTTAAAGAGGTCTTTTTATAGTCTCTCTCATTCTCTCTCATTCTTTCTTTCAGTTTCTCTCCTTTTCTCTCTCATTCTCTTTCTATCACCTATCTCTTTTTCTCGAGATAGAACTTAGCGAATAGTGGATGTCCTTGTGGAATGAAAGTAATGTGTATTACTCCAGCAAAACATGACCTCTCGTTTCGCGCTCGCATGACTAATGTAATAAGGCGCACATGTCTCTAAATTCTAGTCGATTAAAAGGTGTGGAGTTAAGAAATTAAGATTTATATCATTCGAATCATTTTTTAAAAAAACAGGTGGAGGTGTCTCTTTAACGATCTATAGACACAATCTTGTTTCAATCAATGTCAAATGATTATGTCTTGATGTTTGAAAAATTTTCCTTTTCCATACCACACCCACACTGTGGGAGAAAATTAAAGCCTCTCCAAAGAAGGATAATTAGAACAACCGTCTTTTTATGCATGTGAATCGATTACTGTTGATACTCCCAGCTTTTAGCAGATTTGCATTTACTGATAAGAATATAAATATATTTATCACTTTCTGGTTAACTTTATACATATAATATCTACTACTGTTTTTGTAGAGTAAAAGAATTTTTGAAACTTAGATTACTTCATAATTATTCCAAATTAGCACAGATTATTCCGGATTTCCTTTTTTTGTTCTTTTGAAGTAGGTATTTAGAAGCATTTGCTTAACTGATTTTTAAATTTTCTGGAAATTTTCTTTAACTCTTTTTTAGGGGTCGATTACGTAATTTCATTTTCACTTTCATATTCATTTTCATTTTCATTTTCATTTTCACTTTCACTTTCACTTTCACTTTCACTTTCACTTTCATTTTCATTTTCATTTTCATTTTCATTTTTATTTTCATTCTCATTTTCATTTTCATTTTCATTTTGACACATTTTTATTTTCACTTTTATTTTCTACTTAATTTTCGCTTTCAAATTGACAGTTTTTTATTTTCACTTTCACATTCACTTTAATTGGTTTCTATTCTTACTTTTATTTTCACTTTCGCTTTGAGTTTGACAGATACTTATTTTCCATTTCATTTTCACTTTGTTAGACTTTTTTTCACCTTCACTCTGATAGATTTTTTAACATTCATCTCAGTTTAACAGATTTTCATTTCATTTTCAGGGGATCGATTGTGTTATTTTTATTTTTACTTTAATTTTCAATTTCATTTTTGCTTTTACTTTGAGTTTTTTATTTTTACATCTACTTTCACTTTGATAGATTTTTATTTTCACTTTTACTTTGACAGAAATTTATTTTCATTTTTACTTGACAGAATTTTTATTTCACTTTCGCTTCCATTTTTACTTTGACGTATATTTTTATTTACGTTTACTTTCACCGTGATAAATCTTATTCACTTTCAATTAAATTTTATTTTTATCTTCAAAAAGAAAGTGAGTGTGAAGAAAATGGCCAATGTGAAAATGAAAAATTTTCATAGTAAAAATGAATGTGAAAATGAAAGTGAAATTAAAAATGAAATGACCCCTTGGGGGTTGATTACGAGTATCATTTTCACTTTGATAGATTTATATTTTCACTTTCTGTTAACGTGAAAGTGAGAGTGAATATAAAAATAAAAATCGTTCAAAGTAAAAGTGAAAATGAAAGTGAAAATAGAAATGTGTCAAAGTGGAAATGAAAGTGAGAATGAATGTGAAAGTGAAAATGAAATAACGTCAAATTTATTTTAATTTAGATTTTTAATTAACTTTGGCGCCAACTTAATTTCGATTTCCAATTAGAATCAATTGCAAAATGAATTTCGCATCAAAATCAAATTGAAATCTAAATAAATTTGTTGTAAAAATCAATTCGAGTTCAAAATCAAAATGAATTTCATGTCAAATTCGAAATCAAAGTAAAATTAAATTACATAATCAAGCCCATGACATCAAGTACGGACTCTATGACCTCAAAAATTCCTGAGTAATGCATTTTGATATAAAAATTTTCCGCTATAAAAAAAACTTTAAAATTATTACAGTTAAAAAAAATTCTTAATTACATAATTTTTTTCTCTTTGATACTAATGAGAAGAACTTCAAAGATATTTTTACTTGAAACACGTTAGAAAGTAAACCTAGGGAAATTAAATTTCTTTAATAAAATTTTAATTTCCGAAAGTATAAACGAAATTCGCATAAATTGAATTTTTCTAAATTTTACATCAAATTCGATTTCAGTGACAGGAGAAAATCCCCAAGTAACGAGTTTAAAAAAAATCGCAATAAAAGAAAAATTCCGTAACGAAAGAAAAAAAAATATTTAGTTAATTGTATAGCAGCAAGATTATTTGTTTAATTCGTCAAAAATTTGGTTAATTCAAGAAAGTTTGTTCAAAACAGCAAAATTTGTCTGAAGGTACCAAATTTTTTCCATAAACTTTTTCTTTAATGAGAATTTAAATAGAAAAAATTATTGACGTAAAAATTTTCGAATAATATAAAAACATTATGTCATTTATTTATTGTTTTTTGTTACAGTGTTGTGGAATTCATTTTCGTAAACATATACGTTTAGAAAAAAAAAAAGTTGAAAGAGAAAAGGGCACAAGAGGGAGACAGTGGTACCGGAGGCAATTTTCTGACTCCACTCACACAAACTCGGCATCGCGGGAAAGTGGAGCGAGTGCGTGAAACCGGGTTTCGGGAGGTAGGAAAAATATGAGCATCTCGTGAAATCGTCGGCACGTGTCTTTCAGCTACTTACCGGGAGAGACAAAGATGGAGACCGAGGAGCTCACAAGACTCGTCGACGGCATCTATAAGGTAATTCTTCTTTTCTTTTCTGTGTATATATATAGATATATGTTTGCGCATGTTGAAACTACTAATGAAAAATAGTCATTCAATTAGACTTTTATTTTTCAATCTTTCAATTCGCTTTTTTCTTGTTTCCCTCAGTCATGGAGGAAAATTACTAATTACGATGAAAGCAAATTAAATTAAACTCGAGAGATTTTTGTAAGATTCTGGATTTTCTTATCTTTTTAGAAATATACGAATTTAAAATAAGAAAACTAAAACTGAAACTAAAACTAAAATTTCAACAAATTTCCAAAATAACTCCTACTGTAGGTCGAATTCTATCCATGGTATGATTTTGTAATTTTACTTTCGATTCGATATTGACTTTGTCTTTGACTTTCATTGTCACTCTGACTTTGACTTTGATTTTGTAAGTCAAAGAGGAACTCAATGTGAAAATGATAAAGTCAACGTCAAAGTGAAAATCGAATCGAAAGTCAAATTACAAAATCGCTCCCTTGGAATCTGAAATTCTATCGAAAAACATATAATTTCGGAGATACGAAAAATTCCGATCCTTGAAGATCACTTTCCAGGGAATCGTTTCAAACAGCTTAAATTAAAATTTAAAAAGTTTTAATTACCTTCAAGTAAATTAGACAATTTTTATAGTAATTCTTTTCCCTTTTCAAAAATTAGAATTATTCATTTGAAATAATTAGTTTTCACTTTAATTGGTACGAAGTAAGTCTCGACGGTTATAAAGCAGATGGCAGGAATGTACCTATACTTTGGTGCAGTGAATGTTGGGTTCACTTTACGAAATGTAACAAAGGATTTAGTTTATGATAGTAGTGATGTCGAAGGTTTAAAGTTCAAGTCTGAATTTCGGAGAATGTGTATGTATATGTGACGCTCCACGAGAAAAGGGACCTTATTTACTCTTGTCATAAGGTCCCTTTTCTCGTGGAGCGTCACATATATATATATATACGTTATAGGATATAGAAAAGGGGATTTAAGGAAACCTTGACTGTCGAACAGCTAATATGATTACCTCTTGCGCCTAATCATTTCCGCACCTTTCAACTTGCCTTCCGACACCAAATTATTTTCCCCGAGCGACGCCAAATAATTTTCCGAAACGACACTTAATTATCGGAAAATTTTGCGGGAAGCATATTGGTACGCATACATTCGCTAAAAGACCCATTATACTCTTGGTTATCGTACCATATATTATATATACGTTCTTTGCCCCTTGATTTTCCTCCTCTTACACCCACACCTTTCGATCCAAGTAAACTTTTATGATGGATAAAAATCAAATGATCTTCTTTAAAGCTTTTTTTAATTAATTATTTTTTAAATTGATCTTTTTGATTTTATTTATTTAGACGAAATTTTACAAGTTGGAATTTCTATTTGGAGATTTATACACACAAAAAAATCTTGTAAATTTCACTACTTTTTTAATATTTTTTCTTGTTTCAATAGGCGCCAGTAATAAAATTTAATAAAAGGAGATATGACAGAATAGGTAGTCTATCTGTAAAATGTAGTAATAAATACCTTTGTTTACAGTAAAATGAATTACTAAAAGAGTTATTTTAACTATTTGTAGTCAGTCATATTAACTGCTTCATTTAGTTGTAGTAACTAGTTTTTATAGTTTCAGGAGGCAAATTTTTTCAGTAACAAATTGTAGTTGAAACTGAATATGGTAGTTTTAACTATACTTTTTTTCTAACTACACATATGTCAGGGTTGCCACAGGTCAGGGAATTCAGGGAATTCAGGAAAAAGTCAGGGATTTTTATTAAAAGTACTGGAAAAAATTGAATTTTTAAAGTTTATGAGAAAACTCTGAATTTTGATATTTTTTTTGTTTGCCTCGTAAACTATAAAATTATCACGAAATTTAATAAAAAAACCTTCAATTTTTTTCTATTTCTGACAATAATTTCTTTTTAAATAACTTAATATTTCAAGAACTACAATAAAATTATGACTTGTAAATTATTTAATGAACCATTTTTACAATTTTCATAAATACTAGACTGATAGAAAAATTTTAGTTAAAAATACTAAAAAAAAAATTGAATTTTTGAAAAGTTACAAATGATTCCAAATGTTCAATTATTTTCATAAGTAATAAAATTTTTACAGGAATTTAATTATTTAAAAAACAAAATTTCATAACATTTTTCTAAAAATATCAATTATTTAAAAAGATTTTTTATAAAATTCGTCGCAAGAATTCAATTATTTTTTTAATAATAAAATTCTTCACCGAAATTCAATTATTTTTATAAATTTGAATAAAATTCGTTGCAAGAATTCAATTATTTATGTAAATAATAAAATTCTTCACCGAAATTCAATTATTTTTAGAAACTTGAATAACATTTGTTGGAAGAATTAAATTATTTTCAAAAGTAATAAAATTCTTCGCAGAAATTCAATTATGTTCAAAAATTAAAAAAAAAATTCTCATCAAAATATCAATTATCGTTATAAATAATAAAATTTTTTATCGAAATTGAATTATATTTAAAAATTTTAATAAAATTTTTGGCAAAATTTCACTGGAATTCAATTATTTACTAAATTTAATTATTTAGAATACAAAATTTCATAACATTTTTCTAAAAATAACAATTATTTCAAAAGATTTTTTTATAAAATTCGTCGCAAGAATTCAATTATTTAAAAAAAAATTTAAAAAATTCTTTTCAAGAATTCATATATTTTTTTAATAATAAAATTCTTCACCGAAATTCAATTATTTTTATAAACTTGAATAAAATTCGTTGCAAGAATTCAATTATTTATGTAAATAATAAAATTCTTCACCGAAATTTAATTATTTTCATAAACTTGAATAAAATTCGTTGCAAGAATTCAATTATTTATATAAATAATAAAATTCTTCAGAGAAATTTAGTTATTTTTATAAACTTAAATAAAATTCGTTGGAAGAATTAAATTATTTTCAAAAGTAATAAAATTCTTCGCAGAAATTCAATTATTCTAGAAAAATTTTAATCAAATTCTTGGGAAATTTTTAATTATTTTCATAAATGATAAAACTCATCGCAGGATTTGAATTATTTTTGATACAATATTTTAATCGGATTCCTCGAAAAATGTAATTATTCTTAAAATTTTTATTAAAATTTGTCAAAAGAATTCAATTATTTAAAAATTTGTTGATACATTTCTTTATGAGAATTCAATTTTAACAAACATTCAATTATTCAATAAATTATTTATTTTTTAACTTAAATAATTAAATTCTTCTAGAATTTTCTATTAAAAATTGATTTAAAAATGAATTACCGAATAATCGATTTATTATTTATGAAAATAATTGATAATTTGAATAATTTGAACCCTTTTCAAAATTCAATTATTTCCAAAAATTCACGCTTTAATGCATTTAATATTCAATTATAATATTTAAAATTTTAAGTAAAATTAATATTTTAATCAATTTTTATTAGAAACTTTTTCGAGAAATTAAATTATTTAAATACAAAAATAAATAATTTATTAAATAATTGAATATTTCTGAAAATTGAAATTTTATGAAGAATTTTATCAAAATTTTTAAAAATAATTGAATTCTTTTGGCGAATTTAAAAAAAAATTTAAGAGTCTTAAAATTTTTTTAAAATTTGTCAAAAGAATTGAATTATTTAAAAATTTGTTGATACATTTCTTTATGTGAATTCAATTTTAACAAACATTCAATTATTCAATAAATTATTTATTTTTTAACTTAAATAATTAAATTCTTCTAGAATTTTCTATTAAAAATTGATGTAAAAATGAATTACCGAATAATCGATTTGCTGCTAGTTATGAAAATAATTGAATTATTGCAACGAATTTGTTTACATTTTTTAAAATAATTGAATTTTTTTGAGAAATTTTACTACTTGTAAAAATAATTGAATTCTTGCGAAGGATTTTATTAGGATTTTTGTAAATAATTAACTTTTTTTTGAAAAATTTTATGGTAATTTTAATTATTAAAAAACATGAAGAAGGCTTCGAGTTTTCGACTCGAAGATATCGTCTTCTTCATGTTTTTTTAATAATATTCTGATAAGTCGTTGAATTTCAAACAGGTTGGAATTTGAATGTTTTAAAAAATTTTAATTCCTACAGAAAAATAATAATGAATAAATATTTATTTAAATATAAGTTATTGATGCTTTTGAATAATTTTATAAAATTATTCAAATTATTAAATATATTTAAATAAATAAATAATTTAATAATAAACTATCGAATAAATTTTAGAGTAAATCAGAATAATCTTTAGGGTCAATGAAAAAGTGAAAATTTTGTCTGGAAATCAGGAAAAAGTCAGGGAAAAAGAAAATTAAATATTTGTGGCAACCCTGTATGTGTTTGTTTTTATCATTCTTCTGCGTAAGCTAGAATTGTATTTGCATAAAGAAAAATGTTGAGAAAAATTGTAAAAGTGGAGAAAAATTTAGAAAACTTGAAATGCAACGAATATATCATCTGACACTTGAAGTATTATCATGTTTGAAATTTCCGATTTCCCTCTGCGTGTATAATATTTGAAAATGTTGAAATTAAACGTTTTGGTTGCGAATTGGATATATGGGAGGAGAGGAGCGAGTGGCAGCGACGCGATGTTGATGCTCCTCACGTAATCTGGGCTGATCCTTTAATTTTCGTGGATTCGGTTTGCGCCGATTAGCAATGGGGTGTGAGAGAATTCAGAGTAGTGTATAGTATATATACATATGTGTGTGTGTGTGTGTGTGTGTATATCGAAGGGGATGTAGATCGGAAGGCAATTAATATCAAGCTCTACCCCGCGCGCTTTAGGTGAGGCCTGCAGCAACATCCGTCGGGCCAGTAACGCTGTATATCCTCGCGTTGCCCCAACCGCGATGAAACATAACTACAACCTCGTGATATACTTGCACCATGGGGCTTGCTTGTCAGCATATACTATATAGACCCTTTACTCCCAA